GAAACGGCTCAGTGCTGGAGTGTATGGGGCTCTTGTGGAGGACCCAAGTTCAGTTCCCAGCACCTACTTTGATTGTGACAGATCTTTCAACTGCCTGTGACTCTGGCTCCAGGAGATCCTATGCTGTCTTTTAATCTCTTTGGTTATCCACACACATATTCCCATGCTCACCCACAGACTGTGTAAACAAAAGGTCTCTATACACCTCAGCATACAGTGATAGAAAGCTGCCCACATATAACAACAGAAAGTTGCCTTAAAAGGGTAAAATACCCAAATAGGGTAAAAAGCTTATATATTCAAAAAACTGAGAAAAAAAAAAGCCTAACAGGAAATGCCAAAGAATCCAAAGCCATTCACATCACACTCATACTTCTAACTTCTGACATCAAAGACAAACTTTGATATAACCCAGAGAGAAAATACACAGCGCCCTCAGAGAAAAAGCAACCTGGTTGCTTTTGTCACTGAGATAATGCATCTGTCACTGAGAACAGAGGGAAGAGAGTCAAAATTTCAACGTACTAAATAAAAAGAGCTGACAACTCCCAATTTTGTATCAAGGAAATCAATCATAATATTCCCAGATGAAAGAAGATATGAGAATTTGACATATATAGTAAAAAGTATAGCTAAGAAAAGTATTTAAATAGAAATGGCATAAAAGGAGATTTGAGAGAATAAAGAAGAAAAAACAATATATTTTAAAAATAAATCGTGGTTTTATGTATAACTGCAGATTTTATAGATATTAAATTATATTAGAATGATTTTTACATTGTTTTAAACAGAAGAAAAAATGTAATTTTCAAGGTTATAAAACCCCTTTCTAAGTGGGTCAGTGTGACAAATGTGCTCAGTGACGACTCCTGTCTAAAAGCAGGACTCTGCAGCTTTCAGAGTCAGGGATTCAGAGGAGCAGCACAGTGTATTGTTTCCCACAACTGACTCTTGCTGTGCTATTCACTACACAGAAAGCTGAACTCTGATACCCCAAACAGGGAAAACACAACTATGGGCAGAGTTAGAACGTGGGTGGGAGATTGCACGCCCTTCTGTGACTCCCGTGGCATTCTGCCTGCCTTCCAGTCTCCCTTGTGCCTATCACCCTCTCTCTGCTTTCTTTCCAAATCTTAAACTGTACCAGAAGAGAATAAATACAATAAACACTTTTTCTCTTAATTTTTTGAAATTATTTTGTAAAATTAAAGCAAAAGCAAAAGCAACTGATAAACTTCTAATTACAAAGAAAGGAAATAATTAGCACAATTAAATAAACCTAAGAGGTGGATAGGTAGCTTTAAAAACAGGTAAAAGAGATAACTTTTCTATATTTCAATTATAATGTTCAAATGATAAAAACATTAAGCTGCGAAAAGTTACATATATACATTATACCCGAGAAACCACAAACAAAAGCTATGAAGGGAGACACTTGTAGTTGTTTGTGTTTTTTTTCTTTGTCCTTGTTTGTTTGTTTTGTTGTTGTTTGTTTGTTTTACTCTTTGGGAGTCCACCAGCTAGCTCCCAATTCACAGAGGCTTATCCTTACTTATGAATGTCCATTTTTTTCTAGCCAGATTAACTTAAATTATCCCATCTACCTTTTGCCTCTGAGCTTTCACCTTTTTATATTTCTGTGTATCTTTTTTTCCTTCTATTCCATGTCTTGCTGTGCTGCTGAATGACTGGCTCCTTTCTTTCTCTTCTCCTATTCTTGCTCCTTCCTCCTTTCTTTTCTTCTATTTGTTCTCTCTGCCTGTCAGAACTACCCATCCCTCTCTCCTGCCCAGCTATTGGCTGTTCATCTTTTTATTAGATCAATCAGTTATTTTAGGCAGGCACAGTAACAAAGCTTCACAGAGTTAAACAAATGCAACATAAGAGAATGCAACACATCTTTGCTTCATTAAACAAATATTCCACAGCATAAATAAATGGAACAAATCTTAAATTAATAGTCCATAACAGACACTCACATTCCAAAATCAAATTCTAATATTCATTCAACACACATTATTCTTAAAAGGAAAAGTATTAAAACAGCAAGAGAACAAACAGAAGGCATGAATTATAAATAGATATTTAAGCTTTCACATATCAATAATTGGATTAAGTGTAAATGGACCAAGTATACCACTTAAAATTTTGTGTTAATTAAAATTCATGACCCAATTATTAATTGTAAACAACAAATAATGATAGTGACAACTTAAAAAAACAAACAATAGGGGAAAACAATAGAATGCAAATATTGAAAAGAGCTTGATGGGTGGTGATGGTACACACCTTTAATCCCAGTACTCAGGAGGCAAAAGCCTGAGTTCAAGGCCAGATTGGTCTACGGTGATATTTTATTTGTACTGAAATGTGATTTTATTTGTATGTTAATAAATAAAGTTGCCTGGGGGTCAGAGCTAATAGCAAACCATAGCAGAAGCTGGGCAGTGGTGGTGCACGCCTATAATCTCAGCACATGGGAGGCAGAGCTAGGCGGATCTCTGTGTGTTCAAGGATACAGCCAGCATGGAGACACATGCCTTTAATCTCAATACCAACCATAGAAGACCTGGAGGTCTGTATAGACAGGCAGTGACAAGGAGGTCATGTGGTTGGGTGTACAACCAATGAGAAGGCAGAACAGAAAGTCAATAAAAAAACAGACACACAGGAAGTAGGTCTCTTTCTGAGGGGAAGGGCAGCAGTGGCAATGAAGGGTAAGAAAGGGTTTTTAGCTCTTAGCTACTGCTCTGACCTCTTGGGCTTTCAACTCGGCATATGCCTCTGTGTTTCTATTTTAATAAGACGGTTACATCTACATTGGTCTACAGAGCAAGTTTCAGGACAGCCAGTGCTATACAGATAAATCTTGTCTCAAAAAACAAATAACAAAAAAAAAAAAAAAGAAAGAAAGAAAGAAAAGAAAAAGAAAGAAAGACAAGAAGAAAAGAGCTCACATGCCAACATTATAGTTAGGTAAAGTAGACTTCAGAATAAGGTTATCACTAGAGAAAGAGAATGCTATTATTACATGGCAAACAGACCCATTCACCCTGATCAGATAGTACTAAACAGAACTCAGCATGTGGTAACACCAAACATTCAGAGCACTAGAAGAAATATATAAATTCTTAATTTTATCAGAAAACTCACATATTATTATTGAGTCCCCATTATATTCAAGGCATTACCAGGAATTGAGAGAAGGGAGGTAATATATATATACCTAGAATATCTGATGCATGACAGTGTTTTCTCTATTTTCAGGGAAGCTGCACACATCAATCTCCACAATACAGCTGCCTAAGTAAAGCCTGCACAGTGACAACACCAGTTGGCATATCAATGTGGATAGGGGAAAGCTCACTAGATGAAGAGCTGCAGGAAGTTAATGGCTGCTGAGAGGGGGAGTATAAGTCTTCTCCAGGGACGAGCCTCTTGATAGGTTATGCAATCTCAAGTAATCAGCCCCCAAAAGATATGCATATAAGAAGCAATAGATGGACTCAGCAGCTTGTGTGTGTGTGTGTGTTTAATAATAAAGAAAAAGAGGCTGTAAATTTATAAGGGAGTGCAGGGAGATGTAAGAGCAATTGAATTGAAAAGAGGAAAGAAAATTCAAGGATAAGTTTTTAAAGACCCCTCATAAAATTCAAGGTGTATAAGGAAAATAGACTTTGGTAAATTAGTGAAGACTTTATCCACTGTGATTACAAGTGATCCACAAGGAAGCTCTAAGACACTAAGATTGCAGTATCATTTAAAATGCCCTGCTTAACATAACTAACAAGTACACACACAATGTCCTAGCTACATAATTCAATGGGATCCATGCCTTCATTGCATTTCTTGGAAATTTTTAAACAAAACCCATATTAGCCTGCATAGATTTCAAATCTTCCACAGAGCCAAGAAACCAGTATCCTCTGCATGTCTATAATTGACTTTACCAATGAAATGATTTGCAGTGCCTTTTTCTCAGCTGGCTCTTTTCCAATATCAAGTCAGATAATAGGACAATAACTGTTTTATTTCATTTTAAGTTTTTGAGGCAGGACCTCATGTAGCAAACTCACCTCAGAGTTGCTATGTAATGGAGGGTGACTTAAAATTCTGATCTACCTGCTTTCACCTCCCAAATTCTGGGATTACAGGTGTGCACTACCATGCCAATTGTAGTTTGGGTATGAAATATTCTCTATAATCTCACATATCTCACCTGTTTGAACACTTAGTACCTAGAAGGTGAGCCTGTTTATGAAGGTTTTGGAACCTTAAGGAGTTGGGACCTTGCTGTAGGTTGTCACTGGTAGAACGCCTGAGGTTTTGAACCCAGTCATGGTTCCTGTTCACTGTCTGTCTTTAGTGCTGATGAGGCGTCACTTGCCAGTCTCCCACTTCTACTGCTGTGTTTTCTCTGCAATGACGAAAGCTACTGTCTCATGCTATGAACTAGAAAAAGCCTTCCTACTCTAAACTGTTTCTTGTTAGGCCATAGTTAGAAAATTAACTAAAACACCTGTTTTTATGTGGACACAGGCGTGGAACTCAGGGTTTTAAGCATGCTAGGCACACACTCTACCAACTGAACTACATACCCAGCCTTGGCTGATGAAAATTCTAAATACATAAGATAAACACAGTGAGAAGAGGTGCGGGGGTAGAATAGCAAGGCAAGACTTAGCCAAGTCCATAAAGCACCAGGTGACAGAGAGAGTGGACTGACCACACACAGTGTGAAGAGGTGGAGGGGTAGAATAGCAAGGCAAGACTTAGCCAAGTCCACAAAGCACCAGGTGACAGAGAGTGGACTGACCACACACAGTGTGAAGAGGTGCAGGGGTAGAGTACCAAAGCAAGACTTAGCCAAGTCCACAAAGCACCAGGTGACAGAGAGAGTGGACTGACCACACACAGTGTGAAGAGGTGGAGGGGTAGAGTACCAAAGCAAGACTTAGCCAAGTCCACAAAGCACCAGGTGACAGAGAGAGTGGACTTACCACAGAGTAGATTTGGTGTTTGCGTCTTTTGGCCAAGTCGATTATGTTCACTCCATTGTAGTAGAGGTTTTCAATACAGCCATGGAAGTTTTTCTTTAGAAAGGTCCCAGGTTTGCTTGGCACTGGAATTCCTCCAAAACTGAGCTTCATCATGGAAAAAATAAAAATCAACTCTTAGTTACAAGCTCTTAAGAAGCAGGAATGTGAGAGAAGTGAGTACATTCTTTAGATTTAATTGTATGTGTAAGCCAAGCAGGTTTAGTAAATTGCAGATGCCACTTGATTACTCTTTTTAAAGAATACTGATTAGCCCATATAAAAATACCTGTAATTGCTTGCCTCTTACAGGCTTACTTTACAAATGCATTTTCATTTCTTCCTTAAAACTTTTTAAATACTAAATAAAACAGTAATTTACAAAGGTAAAAAAAAGAGAAAATTAAAATAAAATCTTTATGTTTATCTGGAGCACAGTAACAGAGAGGATATGGCTATAAAAAAGGTTAAGGAATCAGACAGACCCTTGTTCTGCTACAGGGATTCCTAGTTCTAAAATTCACAGTAACCAAAGGGCTTACATGCATAGGGTTGTTCCACAATTGTAATCTATAAAGATAAAAGATAGAAATAATACAAAATGTCCTATGGATTTGGGAAGCAAATAATAATCAGCATTCTGGAACGGTTAGCATGACAATTATTAAATATTTATGGTAAAACAGAAAACAAATGCAATTTTAATTGTAAAGTACGAGAATTACTATTGGTTGTGAAGTATGATTTCAGCTTTGAGAAAGTTGTGCACACCAGGGCCAGGAGATGTTCAGGGGGCAAAAACACTAACCATACAGGCGCAATGACCCAACTCTGATTCCTAAAAACCCTGTTAAAAACAAAACAAAACAAACAACAGCAACAAAAAGGAAGCCAGATGAGACAGAGAGCTGGCATCTGTGATCCCAGCACCACTATGAATAGCTGGTGGGGCAGGGCAGAAGAATGAAACAGAATTTCACCAACCAGCTAGTCTGGAGTAAACACTGTGGCAGCTATAGCAAGAAAGACACTGTCCCGAGGTAAAAAGTGAACAACTACTGACAGTTGTCTTTTCACAACATGGCATATCCATGCATGTGTGCATGCAATCACCACACCTCTACACATACATGTCTACAACGTCTAGGCACAGAACTACATTTCAATGGTAGACGTCTGGGATAACTACAGGATGTTAGCTTTCTTTACTATGTATATTTTCAGTAAATTAACACAAATAATTTATGATGGAGATAGTAATAAACAAAATTGGAAATACTGCTCTTACTGTGCAAGACAAGAGAATAGTGACTGCCCTCTCATTTGCCTCACCATTATAGACAGCAACCAGGTTTTCTCCACTGCTTTGAAAAGCCACATTCCCTAGGATCTCTTCACCCTTGCATCTTTTTTCTCTCTGTCCACTGTCTTCTCCCTCCTCTGTCTCCCTTTTTCTCACTTTCTCTTTCCTCTGTCTCCTCTATCAGCTCCTCTTCTCTCCTCCTTTCTCTTAAGTGTACAATGTTAGAGAAGATCATGTTCTCCTGACCAGAGCATCTCCTCTTATGTTCTTCCATCATTACTCATATAATATACTAATAATATATTGGGCCTAGATGTACATTTTTTTAAAGTTATGTAGAATTGTAAATGTTTCCTACTATGAGGGGGCTGTATCTGGTTATTACTTTTCAAACATAGTTATGATGCTTTCATCTATTTTTAAACTTGACGTGCTTATTTTTCTCTAGCCAGATATTTGTGTATGCTTCTAGGAAATTTCTTTGAATTTGAGATGTACAATCATAGGATAGGCACAAAACACTTTATTCTTCACATATATTTTCTGTACTTTTATTTTACTTCATTTTTCTGGTCAAAATTTTCTAAGAACTAGAAAAAACATTTTAGAGAATTTTAAACAATAATAACATGGAACTTTCTGGAAACAAAGTATGTAAACTTTCTTCTATTTTCCAATTACACAAAGTAGTGATCCTGACTCCTACATCAAGAAAATATTTTCCTACTCATTCTGTATATTGGTTATTTATTTTCTTCTTTATTGACATACTTTAAACAACAACGAAATGTAATTTTATTCTTTGTCTTTTCCGACCTGGGCCGGTTCACCCCTCCTTAGGCAACCTGGTGGTCCCCCGCTCCCGGGAGGTCACCATATTGATGCCGAACTTAGTGCGGACACCGGATCGGCATAGCGCACTACAGCCCAGAACTCCTGGACTCAATCGATCCTCCTGTCTCAGACTCCCGAGTAGCTGGGACTACAGGCGTGCGCCACTGCGCCCGGCATTCTTTGTCTTTTCAAAAATGAATATTATAGCATGTAAGATGCATTACCGCTAAGCTGAATCGCAGTACAGAGTCCTAAATTCAGAGATCCACTGTGAACACACAGAAGCACTCTGTAGTTCATTTGCCTGAACATGAACATATACACACTTTCGGTAGCAAGTCAATTTAAGTTTCAATATCTTTGTTCAAGTCTAGATCTGACTAATATCAATTAAGGAATTTATTGATTTCATAAAAATACTTTATAAATCTTGAAAACAATAAAAAATTACCCATGGAAAATGTTGGTAACTTATATACAAAGATATGATTAGTTTACTGCAGCATCCAAGTACTTTTATTGTGAGCACTTTGCAGTTTTAATAGGGACATTTTTTAATTTGTGAATTTTCCAAGAATTAATTGACAATGTAAAGGTATTATAAGATACTTCTATTTTTATAAGTTTGAGCAGCTAATGGTAAGTTTATTCTCATCATTTTTTGTTAACCACCTTTCATTTTTCAAAGAACTCCTTTAATCCTCTGCTTCACACAGAAAATATTGGCTATGGAATAGTTTTTGAAAAGGCTGAAGGAGAATAAAAGAGCATTGTATTTTCAATTACAAGATTCTTGCCCAAAACATTCAGGGTAGAAGTAGTATAGAAGGGAAATATCAGAGCACTGAATATAACAAAACTGTAATCTCATGTTTCACAGAGGGGAGAACAATCTGATGGGAGTAAAGTGGGAGTGGGGGTTGGGGGTTTCCTTTCTGATCCTCTCTGGGGTACCTCAGGAGGAAGAGAGCACTAGTGATGGTTAATACTGATGGTCAACTGAACAGAATGAAAATACAATCCCTGAAGAGCAAGTCCCTGAGCATTTCTGAGAGATGGTTTCTAGACTGGTTTAATTAAGGTAGTTCCATTCAACGGTGGGGTCTTGGACTGAATCAAGAGGGGGAAGGCAAGTTGTACATAACCCTCGACTCTCTGCTTCTTGACTCTGGATGCAGGATGACCAGCTGCCTCATTCCTGCTGTCATGCCTTCTCGGAATGGTGGACTGTGCCCCCAAACTGTGAGCCCAATAAACCCATTCTTCCTTAAGTTACTTCCGTCAGGGTATCTGCCCTACCAACAAGTGAAATAGCCAAGGAAGCACTTACACTCTGGTTTTATATCCATTATGATGCAAGGCTGTTAGAATCACCTGGGACTCAGAATGGCCCCAGAGCAAAACAGCTGGATGGGTGGGACAAAATGTGGAAGGCCTTAGAACTGCTTGGTTGTGACTTAGTCACTCTTGTAAGGCTGCCAAAGACACAAGAACAGGAAGAGAGGTTTAATGTATTGAAGCTCTCAGACAATACAAAAATGGCGGTGAGTGGTTGGGAGGTAGGAGGTTGAGAGGTCACATGAGACACGTCTCACAGGCTGCATCACAGCACGGCAAACATCACATACAGAAGCAACAAAAATTGGCACATGATTTTCATGGACCCAAAATAGCTGAAGCTACTGGGTGACATTTCCAGGTGGAACAAATAAATCACATGTCTGTGGTGATGATGAAAGACACCATGACAGCCACCCAGATGGTTAACAGCCCATGGTAAAGAAATGAGGAAGTCTTTGTAACACGAATCTTAAAAGGTCTTAGTAATAAAAATCAGACGCAGGAGCCAGGTATTGGGGTGAACGCTGAAAGATCAGAGAAGCAGAACAAGACACAGCTAACCTCACCTTGCCAATTCCTCAGCTGATCTTATTCTCTCAAACTGGAGGCCTCTGTGTCCTCATCCAAATGGATTTCAGCTGAACTGCTGCTAAAAGCCTAAAAGCTTAACAAACTTAGTTCCTGGTCCTCATGCCTTATATACCTTTCTGCTTCCTGTCATCACTTCCTGGGATTAAAGGCATGTGTCACCATGCCTGGCTGTTTCCAATGTGACTTTGAACTCACAAAGTTCCTGATGGATCTCTGGCTCTGGAATGCTAGGATTAAAGATGTGTGTACCACCATTTTCTGGCCTCTATGTCTATCTAGCGGCTGTTCTCTTCTCTGACCACAGTGACTTAGGGTACACAATATATTGGGGGACACAATATCACCCCAACTCTTTATTGTAAATAGCTTTAACAAAGCACTGATAAGTTATTAGTCAGTATCTTAGCTTCAGCTGCCAAATTGACATAGACTAGCATTATCCATGGGAGTCTTAACTAAGGGACTGCTGGGATCAGATCGGTCTGTGGTTGTTTAAGAGAGATTGTCTTGGTTGCTTATTCATGTGGGAGGGCCCACTGTTGGTAGTACCATGCCTAAGCAGGTAGGCATTGGCTGTGTAAGAAAGCTAGATGAACGGAAGCCAGAGAGAGCCAAGTTCCTGTTCAAGCTCCAGATTGAGTTCCTGCCCTGACCCCCTCAATGATGGACTGTGAGCTGGAAATGTAAGCCAAATGCACCCTTCCTGACACGAGTTGCTTTGTCAGAGTGTTTTATCACAGCAGCGGAATGAATGAGGGACAGTCACCACAGTTACATTTTTCCCTCAACAACACTGGCTTATCATTGCACTCACTAGCATGCTCCTGTGTTCACAGGGGAACAGACTGAATCTGGCTAAGAAGAGAAAATCAAAATTGTACTGAGGTGCACTTGACCATGAATATACATTTCATACTTGATTTATATTTTTAGCTTTTATTTGTATTAGCAGAGAATGTTTAAATTTATTTAGAAAAATGTGAAAAAAAAACCATCCTGAGAGTAGATGGGGTCCCAGGGGAGGAATGCCATTCATTTT